AGGAGGTAGTTGTTGACCATTAAAGCTGTAGACGTGGCCATTATTAAATGTAGTCGAGCAACACACATTTTGACAACAAATTTCATGTTGTCTTGAAAGCCGTCATGACCAAACAGCAACTCCCAGTTTCTTGGTAATATATTCTGACTATGCCTCGCCTCTTCCTCACTCGCAGCATATCCATGTTAAGTCTGCACAAATTGGTGCCTGTGCCAGACGGAAGCCAAAGCAAAGGTGTTGCTTTGTTAGAAAATTTCATTATTTTAGCTTAAGCCGCACACGCATAGTCTCTCTCTTTCTCTTTCTCTCTCTCTGTCTCTCTTTCGCTGACATACTGGCTGTGAGGAAGGCAATGTATGGGCTAGATATGTGTACACATGCCATTTATAGCCAGGGATTAAAAGTCAAATCCTTTTGTTTAAGTGCCAAAATTAATTTGCATTTGACATGCAATGGGCCAGGGCCAAAAACATGTTGCCAGACACAGCCAGCCCCTTCCAGCTGGTCTGGGCCGTAACGGCTTGGGGGCGTTTCTGGCTTGAATGCGAAAAGAGCCGAGTTGCAAAAATCTTTGGCCAGCCTCATAATGCAATTGAATGCAAAAATCTTACTAATCCGTTGATTGCGCTTAATTGAGTTGGCCATAAACGGGCAGGCGGAACGCGCAACGTTCACCGAGAGCCAAATATAATCAAATACCAATTTAAATTAACTCAACAACAATTTAAGCCAACACATAACAGCAACAGCAATAGCAACGACAACAACAACAGCAACAACAACAACGAGAGTATTGGCTATTGGCAGAAAATTAAATTAGTGCAAAAATGTAAACATGTTGTATGTTGTATGTGCTGAATGCGGACAACGAGGAAGGCGACTTGGACATGTAAATGACGCCCGGCACCAGCCTCAAAACATGTTGACTGCATGTAAAGTGGACTTCAGCCTAGATCAGACCAGTTAAGCCMAAAGCCAAGCCGAGACAAGCCAGGCCAGGCCAGGCTTAGATCCATCGAGCATCGAGTGTCGAGAGGAGTCTCTAAGCCGGCGGCTTATTAATTGTGTTTCTCTCTTTTCTGTTTATATACAAAGCGCATGCACTCGACTGACTTCGGTTTCCCATTCCCTGGCATGTCGTGGCATTTGAAGCKCTCGGCCATCGGCTGCTCTGGCGGTCATTCCCAAAAAAGTATCGCATTACAATTGAGTCTGGCAACATGGTTGGCCCAGAACTCATGTTAGTTCCATGGAATTATGATATTTTCTGCGTAATTTGAAACGTTTTTAATTGGCGCCTATGCCGCCCACTTCTACCTAACTCTAACCAGTTGCTTTCGCACTTTCTCTCCTTCTCTCTCATTCGCTCTCGCTCGGCCCCTCTCTCTCTCTCTCTCTGTCATTCTGTTGGCTTGCTCAACATGCACGTAACTTGATGCTAAGCAAATTTGAAATTTTATACAAAAATGTGCGCCATAAGAAGCAGTTAATTTTTGGACTTACCTCTGCGATAGAAAGAACTGAGAAGTCGTGCCTCAATGAGAAACGAACAGAGAGAAACAAACCAAAAAACTTGGCAGACAGGAAACTGAAGTTTTTTGTTACCTACGCTAAACTTGTGATATGGCCTGGCCAAGCCAGGCCAGGCCGGCTGAGCTAACGGCATTACATATTTGCTGTTTACCCTTCGAACCGCATGGATTAGCTCCCAAGACCCCTGTGGGTGAGCGCGAGGGTAGGCGTCGCAGTCTTATCTCGACAAATTAATCAGCTTAATCCGTCGAAAACTAGCCAAGTTTTGCATGGGTGTAGCACATCCTCCTTCCCAGCCAGTCGGYKGAAGGCTGCCTTCATAGATAAGCGAAATGTTTGCAAGTTATTGTTGTTGAAACAGTCCCTCTTGTTATTGTTGTTGTTGCTGTTGCTGTTGCTGTTGCCGCTAGACTACTGCTGTGTTCAACATGCAACGTTCAAAGTTCACATGTTAGGCACCCAACAACAGCTACAACAACAGCAACAACAACCGTCTTGGCTCTTCATATTCTTCTGCCGCCCCTGGCCCTTCG